TCTTGAAAATCAATATTAGAATCTTTTGGTGGTGCATTAAGGTCAATGCTCAAATGATCATAAGAATAATCAACATTCTCAACACACGTGGCACATTAATCTTCAACAAGCATGTTGTGCAATACGATACATGTATCTATTATATGTCCCAATGCATCCAAGTTCCATAATCGGACCAAATTATATATAATCATAAATCGAGATTGGATAACTCGAAATTCTTGTTCGATGTCCTTTCTTACGCCTTCTTGATTTGGGCAGATAATTTCTATTTATACTCTTGTAGCATTGAGATACTTTTCATAAATGTAGCTCATTCATGATAAATGTCATCTAATAGATAATAACTCATGTTGTATTCAATGTAATTAACTGCGTAATAGACTTCGGGAGCTCGCCCTTGCATACTATCATTAAAGATACTGGATTGGTTCGACACATTGATATCGTTGTTTGAACCTGCCACTCCAAAGAATACGGTCAAATTCATAAGGCTTGTGAAGCAACTCCTTCTAGCATAACATTGGGTTTACTATGATCACCTCGAACATATTTTTCTTTCAATGTAACTAGACAATTTTTCTATTTCCAATACATTCAATTAATGCTCCCTAACATGTCTGAAAAGCCATGTGCATCCCCCATCTAGAGCAAGTGTTCAATGTCATCAGTGATTAGCCTTCACAAATATTGCTCCCCAAATACGCTTATCACACCCGTTGTAAACTAATGCATTGATTATCCCATTTTCAAATAGTCTTCCACACTATCAGATGATGTTTCATTTGCCAAAATTCAAAACAAAAAAAAAAACAATACAATTTTGTAGAGGTTAAAGACTAGATTTACCAATTGTATTAAACCTCACCTAGAAATATTCTTCATATGGAAGAGCTTCAATAATACGAAGGAACATATGTTTATGCATTTAGTACCTTTGACGAAACTACTAATTTATGTACAATGGAACTTCAGAAAAATAATCATTGAATAATTTTTCATGTCCTTTTTCACGATTCCTCTCTTTATACCTTCTTCGACGTCTAGGCATGTTGGAGCTCTTAAAGTCGTATTGCGCTTGACATTCATAAAAAATTCTCACAAATTCTTTGTCTATGTCATTATTCATATAATCAATGAACATTTTTTGCAATGTGTGAAAGATTGGAAGGATCCATTTTTTCAATGTGAGAAAGATATATATATATATATATATATATATATATATATATATATATATATATATATATATATATATATATATATATATATATATATATATATATATATATATATATATATATATATATATATATATATATATATATATATTAGGTAACAGATAGTTTGAATGTCAACTAGTTTGCATAATTATTATTTTGAATAATAATGAAAACTATAATAACTATGAGAATCTAAAAAAGATCTGACATACATGCTATCAATCAAGTACATATTTTTTTCTCTAATCAACTCACACAATAATTCATGAGTTGTAGTTGTCTTGAATTTATATTTGATCCTTTAAAAGTATTTCTAAATTATTAATCTTCAATTTTTTCTTTTCATTCTCAGCCCTTTGCATCTCTTCTTTGACCTTTCTTTCTCTCTAGCTTAACTTTTCCATTAATATGTGCATAATCATGTGAAAACATTGACATTAATTCTCATTTTTTATTGATGCCATCTTTCAATGTGATAAATTTGACTTTAGGGTTAGATTTGTTCACAAACTTTTCTTTCTCCTTCCTTTTGGTCATTTTTTGACCCATTGGATGACGTAAAAATGTAGGTGACGGTGGATTGTACTCGTTACTTGTTGGTGTATATGTATTAGAAGAAGATGAATATGCCTCTAAAATTAAATTCTTTGGTGTTTTTGTAGAGGTTTCTGATGAACCTGCAAACCATTTTAGTTCATCCTTCAATAATCTATATGCCTCCTCCAATGTGAGTTTTTCATGTTCATCTTGATAATAGATATTATGTGTTGTTGAAATAATGTTTATCTCAGAGGTCCAACTTTTCTTTTTAGCCACAACTTATTTGTATCACCCAACAAATGGACTAATCTTCTTGTGCCATTGACCTTTCAGTGCCATTGAATTCCTCTCTTGATAATTCTTGTCGTAGTACTTGTTATAGGCTTCACAAATCCTCTTCCAAAAATAATCTGCTTTTTGATCAATCTTGACAAATGAGTTCTTTGAAATATTGAGTCATGAGTGAATGATAACTTCATCTTCCTTTGGGTTAGATCTAGTTTTATATCCATAAATTGCGCAGGATCCAATTTCTTCAACAAGGTTAATAATTTTCAACTCGCCTGTTTCAGGCTCTTTATCATTATAATGCATGCCACTATTATCTATTTGAAATCGATAATATATAGTGGGATCAATTGACTGAGATGAAAGTTATTGATATTGAAATGTGTAAGGTGGAATATAATATGATTAATTTCTAAATTGTGGGGTATTTGTGGATTTGGAATAGTTTCTTTTTTTGTTGAAAATTTTGGTTATGATATTAATTTGGGAGTTGAGATGATATGAGTTTATTTGTTTATTTGGAGTAGGAGGGTTACAACCATTTTGCATAAAATTGGACAAAGAATTAATGTGGTTAGGGTTAATTGAAAACTAATAGAGAAAATAATTTAATAGAGATAAAATAAATTTTTCAAATTTTGAATAAATGTGAATTAAAATTATATTGAATGAATAAGTTTATTTTTATTATTTATACTAAAAATATATGATTATTTTACTTTAAAAAACAACGCTGAACATTAATATTTATTACCGTTGAAGTAAGAATGACAATGAAATGATACATTGACTAGTATTTTTGGAAATTTTTACCACATACACCCATACTTATCCCTATACCCCAACAATTTTGTAAATATTTCAAATTTATCCTCGTTAATTTTTATTTATTTTTTTACTTTTTACTATGCAGTTATAAGTTATTGTTGGGGATTATACGACACAAATCAGATAACTTGAGGTAAAGAATATCGATTAGTTTTTGTTATCAAATCGAAAAACTTAAAAGGATGAAATCCGGTTGTTAAATTTATCATACCGAATAACTTGTTGATTAGTTATCTGGTTCATATTATTTAACCGGATAAATTCAACATGAGTTTTCCGGTTTTTGTTTTTCAAGCACCGAATAACTTGCAAAGAAGAGTTCCGGTTTGTGTTTTTTAGTCACCTGATTTCTTGCAAATAAGATATATGGAACACATATTTTTATTTTATTTTTGTTTTATTAATTTTTGTCACACTTATGTTTAGCAGGTACGGATATCCCTTTGATGATATGTGATTAAAACCAGACACATGTAGATACGATTGAGATATTTTTTTACTACAGGAAAATTTGATACACGAGAAGAGGCGATTATGTGGATTAGGGAGGTTGGAATCAGGAATAAATTTATTGTTATAATAACACGTTCGGACACCAAAATTGGCAAGAGAAGAAGAAGTGACAAAGTTATATTTGGTTTTGATAGAAGTGGAAAATACAAAGAATGAGATAGTGAAACACAAAGTGCAACCAATAAATGTGGTTGTCCATTAAAAATTAGGTCAACTTCATTAAAAGATGGTTCTAGTTGGAAGATTGACGTAAAATATGGACTTCACAACCATGATTTACCGGATATATTTGAAGGTCATTTGTTTGTAGGTCGACTTAATGTTGATAAACAACAACATACTATTGATTTAACAAAATGGCATGTTCTAACAAGACACATATTGTTGTCATTTCAAGAACAAGATTCGAAGAATGTGACTCGAATCACCCAAATATATAAACATAAGAGTAAGATTCAGAAAGACATCAGGGGTCCTAGAGAGGAAATGCAAAATTTGTTTAAGCTGATAGAGGATTCTGATTATGTTTATTGGAGTAGGAAAAAAGATGAATCAGAAGTTGTGAGAGACATCTTTAGAGCCCATCCAGAATCAGTGAAGTTGTTGAATATGTTTCCTAATGTGTTGATTATGAACACTACATACAAAAAAGATAAGTACGTACAACCTTTGTTTGAAGTAGTTGCTATGATATCAACTAAGTTAGCATTTGCTGTTGCATTTAATTATATGGAATCTGAGCAAACAGAGAATTTTTGTTGGGTATTGGATAAGTTGAAACAATTATTCACTAAGCAAGGGTTATGGCCACAGATTTTAACGGATAGAGATCTTTCTTTGATGAAAGCAATTGAAATAGTATTTCCAAGAACATTTAATTTGCTTTGTCGATTTCACATCAACAAAAATGTGAAAGCAAAGTGTAAGGAGTATGTTGTGAATGATATACGAGAGCCAATATAGAAGCTATTGTATGAACTTGTAATAGATAATGATGAAGTGGAGTATCCTCAACAGTTACAACAGCTTAAGCATGTCTGTGTGGATTTTAGACCATTTTTTGATTATGTGAAAGACACATGGTTGACGCCTCACAGGCATAGATTTGGTGAAGCTCGGATCAATAAAATGTTGCATTTAGGAAACACCATGACTAATAGGTAAGGTGTTTGATTTTAGCCATAGTTTGTTTATCTTAATATTCATGATACTGATTTTTTTGGGGTTGAGTCTGCGCATTAGAAACTAAAGCAAATGTTAAAGAACAGTTTAGGTGATATGTGCAAATTTTGGGAGGCAATGCATGGATAAATCAAGGTGCAATTGGAAAATATTAGAGCTTCATTTTAGAAGAGTTTTTATGAAGTTGAACATGTGCACACTAGTCCCTTTTATGGGAATTTGTATGGATCAGTATCTAGGGCTGCTTTGAGACACATTGCTGAAGAGTGGCTGAGGGTTGACATGGTGGGTACAAACACCCAAATGTGCGGGTGTAATCATAGAAAAGTATACGGATTACCTTATGCTTGTGAGTAAGGGAGATACATGTTGAGTGGTGAACCAATACCAATTGATGTTATTCATATCCATTGGAGGAAGCTCAGCATGGAAGGTGAACAAGAGGTAGATGCAGAGGATGGAGCAGAGTTGGACATGACCAATGCAATTGATGCACTGTGTAAAAGGTTTAGGTTATTAGATGTTGCAAGAAAGAGAGCACTAAAAATAAGGGTGTTTGAAATTTCTTACTCCACTACAACAAACATGTGTCCACCGCCTGAAAAAATAAAAACCAAAGGAGTGAAGAGAAAAGGGAAGAAATATGTGGGATATGATGTTTATCGTGATCCTTCATATCATGAGTATGTTTATCAAGCACAGCAGTTCTCAAAAATCTTCAAAGAGGCCATGTTCACAGTTATCCTAAACCTCAAAGAAGAAACCATCTAATAGGTACATTGTATAATTTCCAGAACATACCAGGCAATTTATTGATGACATTGTTGATGTTAAGAATAATGAAAATTATGGGTTTAAATTCATTGCATGGATATGGGGAGGATGGTTGGTCAATGGTTTGTCGTGATTTGGATAATGAAATTAAAGGTTCCAAAAATAGTCTCCATGAGAATTTATTTGGATGTCGCTTATCAAAAGATAGAGAATCCTTGATAATATCATCTTTAGGTCCTCGACCACTAGATAAATAGATGACATTACCAGATATGGGTTATGTGATGGTAAATCAGTATGACATCATTCTTGTCTCATTGGGTTATCCTAGTTTGACTTTCTTTCCTATGACGACTTCACATTCACCTAATGTGTCTATTTACTACATTGGTTTTATAAACAAAAATTATTTGGTTCAGGTAAATATTCATGTTTGTTATGTTAATTACTTATATTTCATTTATGTCTTACTTATTAATTGTCTTAATAGGTAAACATGAATGAAGGATTCTCCTTGCCACCGGTCACATTGGATTTGAAGAAGTATTGCACATCAGATGCAACTTCTTGGATGATAAGATTTTCTGGAGGGTTACAAAATTGGCAACACCTTACGTCTATGGTGTTGAAATATGTTAAATTATAATTGTAATGTGATTTTTATATTTTGGTTTGTATTGACAATTGACTTCATGTTATATTTAATTCATGGTATGTTTTGGATTATACTACATAAGTCTGAAGAATACTACATATCTCTAAAGTCTAAAAAAATACTAAATAAGTCTAAATAATACTACATAATTATGTATAATATGACATAAGTATGAATAGTACTACATAAGTCTGAATAGTAAATAATACATCAATCATAATCACTAGCATAAAATACTGGTCAGTCGTGAGGTACCAACCGCCCTGAACTATACATAGTGCTCGAAAGACCTCATAAAAATCATTGTCATCCTCTTCCACCTTGTGACGATGTAGATAGTGACGAAACTCGCGTGAAATATGTAACAATCTCATATCAGTCGGTCCTGCATCATAGACACGAATCGGGACCTGTCTGACCTCCCCCCGAGGTAGTGGTACCAAATAAGGATGTGACACCCTATAATACTAATCCAAGTAATCGACTACCACATCATATGGAGTATCTGCAAAATCATTCGGAAGAATCACTTCCATCACGCTCGCATTATATGTAATCCACTCAATATCAACATCAAGTGTGTTAACTTCAGGAGGCGGAGATGGTATGTACTTCCTGTATCTAAACTAACAGAAACATTTGTCAAATAAGTATACAACAAGTGTTCCATACCATTTCGGGCCACCCTTGTACAAAGATATATCATCAAATGGTCGGTGTTATATGTGATCCTCAAAAGGGTGCCAAATGACATCAGTAGGTGTCAATCCATCCGACACAGTCCTGAGCTCATCAACCTTCTCTGCATCTTGCTTGTACATCCACTTCATTGCCCTAGAAAGTGGATTACTGATACCAACAATCTTAGAAAATCCTCTCTTGCAAACAGGTTAAAAATACTCATGAATCTAACATTGTTATATAACATGAATATTATCAATTAAAATTATTATAAATAATCTAATATAAGCCTAAATAAAATTAAAATAAAATATTTGTACCTGTAGCAGAGAGGCATGTCCTCCAAGCTGCTTGCAATTGTAAAAGGAAGCATCTCTTAGATATTTGTAAAGTGTGACAAATGCAGCTGCCCCTCAACAGTATCTACCATATCCAGGCAACTCCCAAAAAAGTGATAAATAATCTGCCTCTATAAGAGTAAATGTCATATCAACAAAAATGGTGCATCCTACCAACAATAAAATATAGGCTCTAGCTGCACAGTCAAACCTACTCGCAGCTCACTGATGGGTAAATATATGCTTCAATCATTCCTGGCTATATTAAGGATCTCTGCAAGCATGAACCTTTTCAGCTGCCTCCTCCAACAAAACAACCATCAAATCAATAGCCTGAGTAATATCATCAGAATCAATGAACCCTTCTGTAGGGTTACAGAACTCCCCATACATGGTAAATGAAGCAAACATTAAACATCTTCCAAAGTAATGGTCATCTCGCCAAATGGCATATGAAAGGCCGATGTTTCTGAATACCATCTCTCCATAAATATAGATACTAAGTTATGATATATCCCCGATAAACTGGTTCTCTATAGAAAGGATAGACCAGAAGCAAATAACCATCTCTCTATCACTGGTGTGAAACTGTATGGAATCCACCCGATCAATTTGCTACTATGTGCAACAATCTTCAATTATTTCTTCGGAACTCTCTCCTAAAAATAATTCATAACATATGTTATAATACATAAATAATTAACATTAAATTTGAGATAAACAAAAAATCTCATAGATTAACTTACTTTGCCGAGCCACATATGGTGAGCAATGTGGTCCTGATACCTCACCAAAAGAGACATATCAAACGACCCTCTGAGAAATGGTGGATGCAGTGGACACGACAAATATTCAGCTATCTAATCTTCCTCTCGATTCGATGGTTGTTATGTTTTCTATCCTTTACCATATCGTCGATAAATATGCCCATCCCATCCTCTAATGTGAGCCACACAAAAAATTCAAAATCCAACAAATCAGAAAACTGCCAACCAAGTTCTCCGGTGAAGAATAAATAAGAACCGAATAACATAATGGCAAGTTATCTGGTGATGAACAAATAAGAATCGGATAACATAATGCTAAGTTATTCGGTAAGGAACAAATATGAATTGGATAACTATACCCCAAGTTATCCGGAGTGTAAACATCATAAATAACAAACCAGATAACTCACTCTCTAGTTCTCCGGTGTTGAAAGTTAGTGAACCGGAAGTCTTAGTGTTGAGTTTTTCGGAAGTCAAATAGAAATGAAATTTTTTTACGCTCTAGCTGGAATGAAATGAGGAAAAGTTAAAAATTTGAAATTATAGGTATTTATACAAGAGTATTTTGGTCTAATTTTTTAATTTGTAGGGGTATGGGCATAAATGCAGGGGTGTGGGGTAAAAAATTTCGTATTCTTGTCACCATTCAAATAAATTTAAATAAGAATGAAAATGTAAATATTAATGACAATAGAATGGAAAATTTAAATGTGCATTGAATAGTAATATGTATATATGTTATGAGTGTGAATAAGTTGGGTCAAGTTATTTTTTGTTAAGTCTGAATCCGTCATGCTAAAAAATTCAAAGTTTAAGTCTGTTCTGTAATCTATTATTTTTAGCCCTAACATTTTAGAAGACATGTTTGGCCTACTAGCCTACTTAAAAGTTCACTTCATTTGATCATTTGTAAATAAGAAATTTAACTAATGTTACATAGACTAATAAATTAAAAGATCAGTAAGACTAAATATTTGTTTTGATTGACTCGTTCGAGTTTACCTATTAGCATAAATTTTTTGATAATATTTGTTTGAAAGAATTTATGACAACAACTTATGACATTGTTCATATATTTTTTTCAACTTATTTTCATAAGTTCTTTAAGATAATTAAGCTTTATTTTCTAATTTTAATTTAAAGTACAAAATTTTATATAATAATATTAATAATAAATTTATTCATCTTTATTTACATAGGTTGATTTGATAGGTTTAAAAGGTTTTTTTATGGCCCGTGACCTATTATTTTTAGCTAAATAGACTAATAAAAAAACATATAATTTCCTGTTTTCAATCATAATCTTACCTACCACTTGGCATGCATTTTTGTTTTCATTAACCAATGTTAGATCTATTAAATATATTAACTTTTAGTTTATTGTTTAGTTAAGCAATTCAATAATATTACAACTTGATAATATATATTGATAGTAAATTTAACTTTATTCCGCAGAAGATTATGCACTACAATACAATGTAGAGAGAGAATGTCTGACCTCTCTCAAAAAACCAAAAGCCACTATAAACCAAAAGTCACTGCAAAACCACAAAACACCGCACCCAACATATTCTTTCACCATCAGCAGAAAACCTAGTTTTTATGTACCCATTTTTTAAATAACCAAACTATCAACCTGACTACAACCACTGATCATTACAACAAAGTCAAGCTGATTCGTTTTTCCTAAAATTTACCAAAAATGCTTTGAGAAACTTATTTCCAAACATGCATGCAAAAGAGCGCATCTATGAAGATTCAGATTGGTAGAGGGTTACACATAAGAAGAGGTTTGCACAAGAAAATGCAGGGAAGGCGAGATGGGATCTAAATATCAGAAGAGGAAGGGTTACAAAGGAAGGAGAAGTAAAATTATCTTTATTTTTTATAGAGATTTCAGATGACTATGGAGCTAAGGAAATGCACAAAATTTTTAAGAACTTCAGAGATATATATGAGGTAGTAATTCTGTCGAAGAAAGATAAGAGGGGGAAGCAATATGGATTTGTAAGATTCTTCAATGTTGACGATGATAGGATGATGGTGGTGAAATTAGATAATATAATCATTAACAAACACAAGATCTATGCAAACATCCCAAAATTTAAGAGATTTGAGGGGGAAGGGAAAGAGGAAGTAGGTAGATATAACAATAAAAAGGATTCGGGGAGGAACGTGGGCTTTAGCTGGAAGGAAACTAGGGATGAAAAGGAAAATAACACTTATCATTAACAACAAGTTAAAGGTGTTTAAGGTAGGGATCGAAGGAGAATGTATGCAAAGGTGGGTGGATGATGGAGATGTTAGATGGAAAGATAGAAGGAATAGGTTCAATAATAAGGTAATCAGAAAGAAAAGCTAGTGTTTGCACATATGGCTTTCAATGTCAAAGATGAGGAACTGATCATATTTCAGAAATCATATGTAAGGGTGGTCTCAGAGGATTGGATGACTTATAACATACATGAAAGAATGCACATGGAAGGGGTATTCACAATTAAGGTAACTTCATTTGGGGAAAATCAATATCTGTTGGAGGAAGGGGAGGAATGAAAGATCAAGGCATTAATGGAAGAAGTAAGATGTTGGTTGGAACAATGGTCTGAAGGGATAAAGGAATAGACTCCAGATGCGGTGGATAATGAAAGGCTAACATGGGTCTGATACAACGACGTACCTTGTCATACATGGTTCCCTAGTTTTTTTGAGTTCATTGTATCACCGATGGGAAAATATCTTTGCTCTGATGATGAAACATTAAAATAAACAAAGATGCATGTGGCAAGGGTGCTAGTCAGGACAAAATTCTCAACAATCTTCAACGAAGCATTTAACGTGGATCTCAATGACAAAGTGTTTCAGATTAAAATTGGTGGAAGATGACCATGGCCTAAAAAGAATTATAATGAAGATGAGAGTAGCGAGTGGAGTTTAGATGTAGAAGAGGATACTGATACAACAATGGAGGATGAGAGTAGCGAGTGGAGTTTAGATGTAGAAGAGGAGGGTGGTGAAGATTCTTGGGTTGACGAAACCAATAGTCAAAAAAATAGAGAGTATAGAGAAGGAGAATGTCAATGAAAAAGAAATTGTCATTCTCGAGTCAAATCAATAGGTGAGAGCTATAGCTAAGGAAGCTTGTATACATCAAAATAGAAGTCCTTTGGGAATTACAATTACTTATGATGGAAAGGAAATGGAGAAA